TCTGTTTGTTTTGAATCTCCAGAGATGTGTCTGCAGTGCTTTTTCTTTGACGCAGAGGCACGGCACAGCATGGAAAAAATCACACAACCGTCCCCCGCTTTTGCCCCTTCCCTCTCAGCTCTAACCTGGCAGCATTGGCCTCAACAAGTTTTTCTTTTCATCGTGATTTTAAACAGATATATCATTCCACCTTCACTTACATTTATAATTAATGTCTTACAGCCAGTGCAGGAAATGAAATTACTTGCTTGGTTTATGGAGCGACATTTAGCTGGGCATTAATCTGCTCTGTGAGGAACATAGTGTTGGCCTTCTCCAAGTCACATCAGCCACATTACCATTAAAAGGCCCAGAAATGTATCCAAGCACTTGGAGTGGACCGGCTCTCCTCTCCTCGGAGCAGAGCAGGTGGTCAGTCTACCTAACGCTGAGTTGATCAGAGCTGCTGAATAGCTCGTTTGGTCGTCGCGGAAACCAAGAAGTTGGAGTTAAATCGTGAAGAGGGCAGTTGATGGTAATGACCGAGCAATCGATGATTGGGCCCATTCATGGCTGAAGTGGCTGGTGTGGGGGCCTCACAGTCACACTTTCGCCAGCATGCGGGGCACAGTGTGCACTGCTCTCATTACCATCCATTGTCTGGGTCCTTTTAGAGCCTTCTGAGAAGAGTGAGGGGGGAGAGAGAGGAAAGGCAGAACAAAAAAAAGGTAGAGATTAAATAATGGCCTCGATTGGTTGATGGTGAAGTGATAGGAACTGGCCCCCTTGTTGTGTACAGTCTGTGCATGTGGCAGCCTCAGCGCAGGATGGTCAAGGTTCAACATGTCGTGGTAAAAGGGGAACAAAGAGCACAAAATGCACTCGATCAGGATGCAGTTACCATCCTATGTGCGTCTTCAATCAATTGCTGATAGCCGCTCTCTACAAACCATCTTATTCGTGTTGGAAGAGTTTCAATTTCAACTCTATTTAGAATCAAACATTCATACATTCGCAAAGAAAAGCTCTTGGAGTTTTGTTGTTGACATCCCAGCGGTCTCTACAGAGAACCTGGTGGGATCTCGACCGGGAAACATTGCTAGCAGCATGGTGGACTGCTTCTGTAAGAAGAGATTAACCTTTTGGCAAGGACTAGTAATCAGAACAGTTTTGATACAGCTAAGAAATGCAAAGAAACTAATAAAGTTTGGGTGCATATTGGTGCATCATTAAGGATGGGTGGTCTTAGGTTTAAATCCCAACTAGGGGTATTTCTGTGTAATGTTTTATGCTCTTCCTTCCACACTCATCATGCATATCCTCACTGCTCATGCCAATACAGTATAAAGGTTAATTATAACACAATAAATCCCCCTTACTGTTTGTCCTGCGTCTCTGTTGGCAGGAGAAGAAAGTTATTAGTATTAAATTGTCATATGAACAACAATTACAGAAAAAAATAAACAAAATTTAGTTATCCTTTGACTTTTCCTAACTAAATCAACCTAGTACTGCCGGCCGGGAATCGAACCTGAAGCCTTCTTGCTTCAAGGCAGCAGTGTTAACCACTGCCCACAGGTTGTTGTTGTTGTCGTCAGATATTGAAGTCCACTACAAACTAGAGCACATCTTCCTGCCTAGAGATGGATTTTAATGCCACAGAACCAAAAATAAATTTCTGATCACATTAGCTGTTAAACTAAAGCTCTCCCCCAGAGCTCTATATGGGACCATTTTCTCAAACTGAAGAGTACAGGCACATTTTCTTTTCTCTGAATAGGCCACTTTCAGGAATAATTTTCTTCTTTAAAGTTAGGTCAAGTCAAGATGCTCCTATTAAACTGCTCCCAATGCTGAGCGGCATCCATCAGATCACTCGTTTCTTTCACATAAACCCAGCTGCCAGTCCAACTGCTGTCCAGTGTGGTGGGGAGACAGTCCTCATGTTCTCCTCTCCAGTCTGAGCTGACAATAAATCTCAGAGCTCTGCGTGAAATCTCAACTCTCTGAGGCATTTGATTTATTTCTGCACTCAGGCAGAAATGTTAAACTGTTTTTATTTTCTGTTATGATGTGGTACTTAAGAATCCTGCGATGTTTACGATGTGGGCGACAAGGGTTAAATCTGACAAACAAAAATAATGTTGATAATAAAACTGCCGTCTGTTCACACTCTGTCCTGTTTCCCAGTTTGATCTTATTCACAATTTTCACTTTCCTCCCTGTTTGGTTCTTGGCTTCCTCCTCATCTCCCTCATGCTGCAGAGAGCTGTCTGATTCCAAGCTCTTCCCGAAGGCTGCCTGCAACCTCATGACCGTGACCTCATCATAGGGTTCAGGTTGGCCTTGGCTCCATTCGCTGGCACTTAGAGAGCATGTTCAGACTCCATTTTCCACGCTACATCATGCAAACAGAAGCTTATTATTATATTGGAAGCTGCTCATGCACCTCCAAAACATCTCATGAGATATATATATATATATATATATATATATATATATA